ATGTACCCCAAATCCCCGCACCCCAAATCCCCGCGCATCCCTCTCCCCGCGTCCCCCCGTTCCCGCCGCTCCCTCCCGGCTCATCCCGCGGTGCGGGGGCGGCCCCGGCCCGGCCCCTCTGGGGGTGCGGGGGCGTTTCCCGCCCCTCCCGGTGCGGGGGCGTTTCCCCGTGCCGGGGTCGCGCACGTCCGGCCCCGCCCGTTAAATTCCGGGGGGCTGCGGGATCGCCCCCTCCGCCGGGACCACCATGGCCAGCGAGGCCGAGCCCGCCCGGCGCCGCCGCTGCTGCCGCTGCTGCTGCGGGCAGGACCCGCCCGGTGAGCGCGGGGGATCCGGGGGGCCCTCCCTTCTTGGGTACCCCCTCCCGAGCAGCGGTCGGGCACCTTCCCGGGCACCTGGGAGGGTCTCCCCCCCCTTCCCAACCCTCGCTCCAGGCACCGAGTAGGATTTCCTCCCCGCTTCCCGTCCACCTGTGGGGTCCCCCCTTCCCAGCATCACTCCGGGCACCAGAGGGGGACGGGCCCCTTCTTGGGGATCTGAGTGGGTCCCCCCCTTCCCAACCCTCACACTGGGCACTGAGTGGGATTGGGATTTTTCTCACCTGCCATGTCCCGGGCAGCTGTGGGGTCCCCCCTCCCGAGTATCACTCCGGGCACCCAGTGGGATTTCCCCCCTTTTCCTGGGCACCTGTGGGGTCTCCTCTCCCGGGCATCACTCCGGGCACTGTGGGGTCCCCTCTTCCTGGGCCCTGCCGGGTCCCCCCTCCCGAGCCTCATTCTGGGCACCCAGTGGGATTTCCCTCCCCTTTTCCTGGGCACCTGTGGGGTCCCCCCTCCCCAGCATCACTCCGGGCACCAGAGGGGGTCCCCCCTTTCCTGGGCACTGCCAAGTCCCTCTTCCCAACCCTCACACCGGGCAACGAGTGGGATTGGGATTTCTCTCCCCCCCTTCCAAGTATCACTCTGGGCACTGAGTGGGATTCCCCCCGCTTTTCCCAGGCACCTGTGGGGTCTCCCCTCCCCAGCGTCACTCCAGGCACTGTGGGATCCACCCTCCCAACCCTCACCCAAGGCACCGAGTGGGATTTACCCCTCCCACACCATTTCCCAGGCAGGGGTGGGGTCCCCCCTCCCCAACATCCCCTGGTTCCCACCCTGGGAACTGTGTCCTCGTCCCCTGTGGGGTTTGGGGACCGGGGTGTCACCCCCCACACAGCAGCACCTGCTTGTCCTGGGGTGCCAAGCCCGGGCAGGACATGGGGCTGGATGTGATTATTCCAACCTCTCCCACAGACATTCCCAAGGCCACGGATTCCCGGCGGGGCTCCCTGTGCGACCGGCACTGCTCCACCACCATCAACAACGACCTGGGCGACCTGGGCTGTCACCTGCACCGGCCCCGCGGCCCCATAGGTAGGTGGGACAGGGGGTGCTGGGGGTGCCTGACCCCCGTGTGCCCCCCGTGACCCCCGTGTGCCCCCCAGCCACGCCCGAGGAGTGTGAGAGCTGTGCCAGGACCACCCTGACGGCCGAGAACGCCGTGGAGGCCAACAAGCTCTCCAACAACTACAAGGTGGGTGCCCGTGGGGGCCAGGGCTTCTCCCGGGGGGTGTGACGGGCTGGCTTCTTCTCCATCCACCCCGAAAAACCCCCCCTCGTCTCCGCAGTTTGGCTTCAAGAAGTGGAAGAGCCACGTGACGGCGCGGCCCTGGGAGGAGCGCTCCGACATCGTCAAGGAGCTCTACTCCGACCTCACCGCGCTCCGGGGCCCTGCAGGTGAGGGCAGGGGGCAGCTCTGTGGGTTTGGGGGGGCTGCAGGTGCCAGTTGGGTCCCAGCTGTGCCCCCCTATCCCCGCAGGGTCCACGGTGACGTGTGGGAACGTCCTGTACCTGCTGCTCTTTGGCTGGTGGCTCTCGCTGCTGCACGGCCTGGTGGCCGCCGGCATGTTCCTCACCGTCGTGGGGGCTCCTCACGGTGAGTCCCGAATCTGGGAAGGGCCGGGGGAGCCGTGGGTGTCCTGGCCGAGCTCACAACAGCGTGGGGACCTCCTGTGTCCCTTCTCCCTGGAGCTGGAGGGGACACGAGTGTCCCTGGTGTCCCCCCAGGGCGGCTCTGCTGGGACCTGGCCGGGTATTTCCTGTGGCCCTTTGGCAAAGTGATCCAGAAGGTGGAGGTGAGGGCTCATCCCGAATCCCGGTGGGGTGGGTGGGGTGTGCTGTGCCACGCCCTGACACTCCCATTGTGTCCCCCAGGTGCCCAAATCCCAGGAGGCTGGCGCAGGGGAGAGCTCGGCCCTGCTGGGGGGTCCCACCCCAGGCCGCTGGCGCCCGCGGTGCTGGGAGGGCACCGGATACTGGGTGAGCCCCACACCGGGCACGGTGACACCCCACACTGGGCACTGGCACCCCTGGGGTGGGGAGAGCCCCCGGGGGCCCCCTCCTCTCCCCGGGGTGGGCACTTGTGGGGCCAACCCTGACGGTTCCTCCCGTTCCAGCGCCGCGTGGGCACCGCGGCCTGGCTGTGCCTGGGGTACCCGGTGCTGGCCCTGTCCCACGCCCTGGTCTGCGTCACCTCCTGGCTGCTCATCGTCACCATCCCCGTGGCCAAGCTGAGCGCCCGCAGTGCCACCCGCGTCCTGCTGCTGCCCCCCGAGCGCGTCCGCGTCCGCAGGGGCAGGATGGTGAGGCTCCCGCGGGTCTCCCATCCAGGAGGGGCGGTTTTTGGGGGGCTGGGGGTGGCAGCAGCAGCGGGGTCACCAACTGTGTGCCCCCACAGACAGAGGTGCCGCTGGAGGGGGAGGTGATCCTGTGCTGCTACCGCGCCGCCAACCCCTACTACTACAAGTACTCCGTGCACGGCCTCAACGTCTTCGCCGTCAGTATCCCGGGGCAGCACTGGGGACGGGACCCCAAATCCCACCCCACATCCCACCAAACCTCGGCCAGCTCCGGGACCGACCCCCAGACCTGCTGGTGATGGGGCGGGATGGACTGGGAATGGTGGGGAAACGGGAGATGACCCCAAATCCCACCCCACCTCGGCTGGTCTCCTTGACCAGCCCCTCCAGACCTGGTGGTGACGGGGTGGAACAGAGTGGGAATGGGGATGGGGGGGTGACCCCAAATCCCACCCCACCTCGAGCATCTCCTTGATGGGTCCCCCAGGCCTGCTGCTGGTGCTGGGAATGGACTGGGAATGGTGGGGAAAGGGGAGATGACCCCAAATCCCACCCCACCTCGAGCATCTCCTTGACTGGCCCCCCCAGACCTAGTATTGATGGGGTGGAACAGAGTGGGAATGGGGATGGGGGGGTGACCCCAAATCCCACCCCACCTCGAGCATCTCCTTGATGGGTCCCCCAGACCTTCTGCTGGTGATGGAGTGGGATGGACTGGGAATGGAGACTGGGGGGAGCTGACCCCAAATCCCACCCCACCTTGGTTTTCTCCTTGTCCAGCCCCCTTCCCCCCCCCCAGACCTGGTGGTGATGGGGTGGAACAGACTGGGAATGGGAGTGGGGGGGTGACCCCAAATCCCACCCCACCTCGGGCACCTCCTTGACCAGCCCCCCCAGACCTACTGGTGTTGGGGGGGATAGAGGGGAAGGGGGGGGAGCTGACCCCAAACCCCACCCACCCTGCTCTGTAGTGTCCTTGACAACCCCCCAGACCTGCTGGTGATGGGGTGGGATGGACTGGGAATGGTGGGGAAGGGGGAGATGACCTCAAATCCCACCCCACCTTGGTTGTCTCCTTGACTGGCCCCCCCAGACCTGCTGGTGATGGGGTGGGATGGACTGGGAAGGGGAGGGAGCTGACCCCAAACCCCACCCACCCTGCTCTGTAGTGTCCTTGACAACCCCCCAGACCTGCTGGTGATGGGGTGGGATGGACTGGGAATGGAGGGGAAGGGGAGGGGAGGGAGCTGACCCCAAACCCCACCCTGCTCTGTAGTGTCCTTGACACCCCCCCAGACCTGCTGGTGATGGGGTGGGATGGACTGGGAATGGAGGGGAAGGGGGTGAGCTGACCCCAAACCCCACCCTGCTCTGTAGTGTCCTTGACACCCCCCCAGACCTGCTGCCACTGGTGGTGGTGACGCTCCTGCTGGGCTACCTGGACAGCCACAACCACCTGAGCAGCTCCACCCTCAAGTTCTCCCTGGCCCTGCTCTCCATCATGCCCCTGTCCTACTACATCGGGATGGCCATCGCCAGGTGAGCTGGGAACAGGAACACTGGCCGGGGACGCTCAGTTCTCCAGGACTTGCACATCCCATGGGATCAACCCACGTTTCCCAGCTGTTCTGAGGGTTGTTCCACCCTCAGTTGGCTCCTCTTGGGCTCTGTGTGTGCTTTGTGTTGGATCT